AAATTATATTTATAATCAATAAACCAAAATACGCTTTAACAAACTAAACTAAAATTTAAAGAATATCTTAAGTATAAACCCCAATCTCTCATATTAATAAGCTTGCGTCTTATTTTAAATATCTAACTCGAAATCTAAATCTTAAAAAAAATAAATGCTATTTTTGTTAGTAGTTATTTTTGTTTTAGTGCATGTTAAATTTAGACGAAGCTTCTTTCCTTTATCTTTTTCTGAATATCATGTCTAAGCTAGCTTCTAGCACTCTTTTGAAGCTAAAAATAATAGGTTTAATGATTTTTTGCTTGTGTAATTTTAAAAAATACTTTAAAATGTATAAATAAGTTACCCAAGTAATTGATTTACATATATTAGCCAATCAGACAAACCTCTGCCTATGAGGTTTAAATTTTCTTTGCTGAATTTAGAGCAGTTCTTTGGTAATGTAATTTTCTTCGCTGAGTTTGGAGTAGTTCTCTGGTAATTTCTTAGCCAGATTTGAAGCAGTTCTCTGGTAATTTCTTCGCCGGATTTGGAGCAGTTCTTTGATAATGTAATTGTCTTCGCCAGATTTGGAGTAGTTCTTTCGCCGGATTTGAAGCATTTCTTTGGTAATGTAATTTTCTTCACTGGGTTTGGAGAGTTTTCTGGTAATTTCTTCACCGGATTTGGAACAGTTCTTTGGTAATGTAATTTTCTTCGCCAGATTTAGAGCAGTTCTCTGGTAATTTCTTCACCGAATTTGGAGCAGTTCTCTGGTAATTTCTTCGCTAGATTTGGAGCAGTTCTCTGGAAATTTTTTCGCTGGATTTGGAGCAGTTCTCTAATAATTTCTTCGCCAGATTTGGAGCAGTTCTCTGGTAATTTCTTCACCGGATTTGGAGCAGTTCTCTGGTAATTTCTTCACCGGATTTGGAGCAGTTCTTTGGTAATTTCTTTGCTGGGTTTGGAGCAGTTCTTTGGTAATTTTTTTGCCAGATTTGGAGTGGTTCTCTGGTAATTTCTTAGCCAGATTTGGAGCAGTTTTCTAATAATTTCTTCGCTGGATTTAGAGCAGTTTTCTAATAATTTCTTCGCTGGATTTGAAGCAGTTCTCTGGTAATTTCTTCACCGGATTTGAAGCAGTTCTCTGGTAATTTCTTCGCCAGATTTGGAGCAGTTCTCTGGTAATTTCTTCGCTGAATTTGGAGCAGTTCTCTGATAATTTTCTTTGCTGGGTTTTGAGCAGTTCTCTAATAATTTCTTTGCTGGATTTGGAGCAGTTCTCTGGTAATTTTTTCACCGGATTTGGAGCAGTTCTTTGGTAATTTCTTCGCTGGATTTGAAGCAGTTTTCTGGTAATTTCTTCACCAGATTTGAAGCAGTTCTCTGATAATTTCTTTGCCAGATTTGAAGCAGTTCTCTTCGCTGGATTTGAAGCAGTTCTCTGGTAATTTCTTCGCTGGATTTGAAGCAGTTCTTTGGTAATGTAATTTTCTTTGCCGGGTTTTGAGCAGTTTTCTAATAATTTCTTCACTGGATTTCAAGCAGTTCTCTGGTAATTTCTTCGCCGGATTTGGAGCAGTTCTCTGGTAATTTTTTCGTCGGGTTTGGAGCAGTTCTCTAATAATTTCTTTGCTGATGTGGAGCAGTTCTCTGGTAATTTTCTTCACAAGTTTGAGTAGGTTTCTTAGACTCACTCTAATTTCTTATAAATTTCAATTACATATAGTTTTTTTGCTGGGTTTGGAGCAGTTATATGGTAATTTCCTTTGCCAGGTTTGGAGTAAAATTTCTTCGCCTGTTTTGGAGCAGTTCTCTAGGAATTTTCTTCGCTAATATGGAGCAGTTCTCTGGTAGGTTTCTTAGGAATTTTGGTGCAGTTCTTTAATTTTCTTTGCCAGGATATGTATTAATATAAATTTGATCGGGATACGAATTTGGCCGTGACACAAATATGAATTTGATTAGGATATGAATTTGGCCAGGACATAAATACGAATTTGATTGGGATATGAATTTGGCCGGACATAAATACGAATTTGATTGGGATACGAATTTGGTTGGGACACGAATTTAATTGAGATACAAATTTGGGTAGGATACGAATTTGGCCGGGACATGAATACGAATTTGATTGGGATATGAATTTGGCCAGAACATGAATACGAATTTGATTGGGATACGAATTTGGCTAGGACATGAATGCGAATTTGATTGGGATACGAATTTGGCCAGGATATGAATGCGAATTTGATTGGGATATGAATTTGGTTGGGATATGAATTTAATTTGGATACGAATTTGGGTGGGATACGAATTTGGCCAGGATATGAATACGAATTTGATTGGAATATGAATTTGGCCAGGACATGAATACGAATTTAATTGGGATACAAATTTGGCCAGGACATGAATGCGAATTTGATTGGGATACAAATTTGGTTGAGACACGAATTTGATTGGAATATGAATTTGGTTAGGATACGAATTTAATTGGGATATGAATTTGGCTGAGATATGAATGCGAATTTGATTATGATACGAATTTGGTTAGGAAACAAATTTAATTGGGATATGAATTTGGTTAGGATATGAATTTAATTGGGATACAAATTTGGCTGGGACATGAATACGAATTTGATTAGAATATGAATTTGGTTGGGATACATATTTAATTGGCATACGAATTTAGTTGGGATACGAATTTGATTGGGATACGAATTTGGTTGAAACATGAATATTCGATTGGCATACGAATTTAGTTGGGATACAAATTTGATTGGGATATGAATTTGATTAGGATACGAATTTCATTGAAACACGAATTTGGTTGAATACGAATTTGGTCAAGACATGAATTTGATTGGAATATAATGAATTTAATTGGTTAAAAAATGAATTTGATTGGAATTTATATGAATTTAGTAGGAATATCCTATATTTATAATTTTTAATTTCACTAATTAGATTAATGAATTATTTTTATATTAACTAATTAAATTAATATATGAAATGATTTGAAAGGTATTGGGTAAATATTAGTAATTATAAATAACTATTTAGAGATAAGTATTTACTTTTTTTTTTTTTTTTTTTATACTTAGGCGATCTTGCCTATTATTTTATTAAGAATAAGCTAAATTAAGCTACAAGTAAAATACTATACTATTTACAGCAAACTACTTTTCTAAAACTATTCAGGACTTACTCAGTTGCTTTTCAGCACCTAAGTACGATCTGTTACAACAATTATTTCTCTCATAAGAGTTTAAATTTGTACATACAAATTTCTAGCTTCTAGTCAAAGTGAGGCTGCTACTAGCCTATATCAAAATCACCTAATTTATTTTGAATTTTAACTATCCTTTCTTACCACCTAACCTTATCTATCTATTAACTCTGTTCGAAGCTTCTTTTTGAGTTCTTATTTTTTTCTCCTTTTTTGATTCTCTTGTTATGTTTGTAGGAAATATGTTCTCTTTTCTTTCTTGTCTTTTTCCTTTTTTTCTCTTTATTTGTGATGTTGTTTTCTTTTTTCTATTCAACAATCACTTCACACCTAAACTTCTATAGTTATTCATAAAAACAAGACCAGAATTGTTCAATGAAGCTTACTAATACTCTGTTTGCTTTGCTTTTTGACTGTGCTATCTTGCAAATATCTGCATGTTGTTTCTTATTTGTGGAAATAAGTATTTACTGTATGAATAAATATTTAAGTTAATAATAATAAATATATATTTGTGTTTATAATTTGTTCTATTGATTAAAATCATCTTTATACTCATATACTGATCAAAGAGTATTAATAATAACAAATATACATATTGTAATTAAAACTTTCTAAGAATCTATTAGTGTATCTGTTTCTGGTTTTTGTATAATAGTATTGCATAGCTAAATTATATTTTAGTTTGTTTAGAAGACTAAGTTAGCATTAGTGATAAAAAATTTACATTATCAAGATTAGTACTTGAGTAGTCTAGTAATAAAGGCAAATTTAGAAAAGATCATTAGATTTCTTTTATTTGTACTTTAGCATTAGCATTAGTAATAGTAATTATCAAATCATCTGACTAGTAAAAAAAATCTAAAGAAAAAACTAAAAAATATTAAAAATCTTAATAATTATAATATAAGTTTCCTATCTATTAGGAGGCGTTGAAGTAGAGACTTATCTGATAAGACCCTGGGCTTATAATAATAAAGTATGAGACATATGTTAGCTTGGGTGTCTCCTAAAGTAGAGTAGTATAGAGTTACGGTTAACTTAGTAATACTATACTTGCAAATGTGAGATAGGACCAGAGAGTTTAAATAGGTAATCTTTTAAGAGATTACAGGTATAGCAACTAGTATAGAACTTTCAGGTAGACTACTTAAAATAGACAATCTAAAATTGTATATGTAGCTAGTAATACTCTTACAATATGTATCACATTTCATAACTATAATATTCTAATAAAAAGTTAAGCCAATAGTATTTGTATTAATATAAAAAAAAAAAAAAAAAAAAAAATAATATAAGTTTTAATTAAGAGAGTTAAAAAATATTTTCTGAAAACAAATTCTTCTATTATTTTAATTTGGTGCATATAATTTACTTGTATGCAGAATAGAGTAGTAGTTTTTTTTTAAATTGAGAATAATAATAAAACAATTGCTTTCATATAGTTGTTAATACTTGTATTATTATATAATAGGTATATTTATTAGGTGTATATATCAATTAAAGCAAGTAACGAGCAGTAGACCTATATAGTAGAAACTTTGAGTTGGTGAAGTAGTATAGCTTTTGATAGTTATGTCAGCTAATACTTGATCTGAATAGAAACTATCACTCAAAAGATGTAAATTGAGTTAGGTACGAGTAAGTTCATTCTATAGAGAGGATCAGCAATACCAACTTGATTTAGTAGCTAATTAGATTTAGGAAGATCTATCTTATGAAATATCTGAAGAGATCAGTAAACAATATCAATGGAGAGCTACAGTAGAAACTAGAGTTATATAAATATCTGCAAAGGTCTAAGCTAGGTAAATTAGTAAAATCAGTAAAGACTACTCTAGTAAGATTGCTTATGAGGTTAACTGAAGCTCTGTATGTTACAATATGTTAAATAATATATATTCTAAGAGGATCTAAGCTGAGTTAGCTAAATAGATCAGTAATAAGCTAGCTGACTTAAGCAGTTAGATATTATAGTAATATTAGTTGATTCTAGTATTAGTTAGTTGAACAGAGTATTTAAATAGATAACTCACAAGTAGGTTATAGGTATGATAGCTTGTGTAAAACTAAACAGATAATCTACTTGTATGGCAGACTATTTAAATTAGACAATAACTAAAGTTAAATGTGTAGCAGGTTGTATACTTTTCATATAATTACAAACTATAGAGAATTGTCAACAGACGATATCATATATTAACTAATAAAATCTGCTCAATATAATAAGCTACTTTAAAAAAAAAAAAAAAAAATTAAAGCAGATAGCAATAGTTATAAAAAATAGACAAAAGTGTTTTATTTAACCTAGTTATATCTTAACTGATTAGTAATTGTAATTTAACTAATTAAAATATCTAGTTAATCATATTATAATTTGAAAACTTCGAGTTTTATTCAAATATAATTTGTTAAATATATGCTAAAAATATACAAATTGAACTCTTATATATGAAGTTTTAATATATAAATATGCAGTTTAAAAAACTAACTTTTTAAATAATTTTTTAAAAAAATATACAAATCTAAATCTTACCTTATTTAATCTTTTTATGATAGTGATATATTCTTAAATCTGATATATGTATAAATATTTTAAGATCTTTCTTTAACATTAATTTAATTTTATTCTTAAATCTTATAATTTGGTACTATCTTATTAAAAATTACTCAGATCAGCTTATGTTTTAGATTTTATTATTAGAAAGAACCTTATCTTAAGATACTTTATTATTCTATTCAGAAGAAGCCTATAGAATACTTTAATTATACTATACTACATTCTAATTAAACTAATATATACCTTATATGAATCTAGTTTCTACTATGATTCTTTATTGAATTAGTTTTCTATGCTTTTAGATATTTCATAAGATAGATCTTTTCAAATTCAATTAGCTACTAAGCCAAATTAGTATTACTATTCTTTCATATAATAAACTTACTTGTATTTGCTTGATCTATATCTTTTATATATAGTTATTTTTTAAAATTAAGTATTAACTAGTATAACTATTAAAATTCATACTACTTAAGGTCTAGTAACCCAGTATAGTGATTAGATTGTTGAACTGCCATATAATAGATCTGGAGTTCAAATCCTACTATTGATGAATTTGAATAATTTCTCAAACCTTGTGATATGTTATAGTGAACTCTGTTTCTAGAAGCATATACTTGTAAATTAAGTTATACTAAATTAATCAGAACTTAGAAGTGTAGCATAATATTATATGAATAAATCTTGATAGAATATATAAATAAGAGACCTGCATGGTAGAAATTCTGAGTCAGTGAAGTAGTATAGTCTTCTGACAGGATTATATCAGCTAAAGTCTGATTTGAAAAAAAAAACTTAGTCTAATAAAGATAGAAGATTTCAAGGTCTTTAAGTAAAAAGTAACTAAAACTAGCTAGATACTAGAAAAAGACTAGGTTAACTAACTAGTGAAGAATCATAGTAGAATTTGTGATTATATGAATATCTACAAGGGTTTAAGCTAAATAAATCTGTAAAATAGATATGGACTACTCTAGTAGATTTGTTTTAAGATTAACTAGCTCTGCAATACTAATAATACATTTAGTATAATGTATTCTGAAAAGACTTAAGCTATTCTGAATAAATGGATCTGTAATAAGCTAGCTAGCTTAAATAGTTAGATGTTGCAGTGATGTTAGATTGGATCTGTATGAGTTAATGAACAGAATGTTTAAATAAATAACTTACAAATAGGTTACAGATATTGTAGCATAGTGTAAAACTAATCAAGTAATCTAATATCTATGCAGTAGACTACTTAAAATAGATAATGACTAAAGTTGTATGTGTAGTTTGTTGTATACTCTTTATGTAATTACAAACAGTAAGGATTATCAATATATAATCCTGTTGACAATTTTAATAAAATTCCTTTAGCAATGTAAGCTACCTTAGCAACAAAAAAAAAAAATTTCATACTACTTTATCTAATTTAAAATTTCTACTATGCAGATCTTCTTCTTATAAATTCTATTAAAATTTATTTATATAATATTATATCATACTTCTAATATCTGATTAATATTAGTACAATATGATTTATAGAATTACAATTTTTAGAAATGAACAAAGTTTATTATAATTTGAATATGAAAGTTTAAATAATTATTTAAATTTATTAATAGTAGAATTTGAATTATAGATCTCTTATATAGCAGTTTAGTAATCTAATCACTATACTAAAATCA